ACGCTACTAGGGGCTCCTGGCCTTACTACTAGGAGCAAGGACGCTACTAGGGGCTCCTGGCCTTACTCCTAGGAGCAAGGACGCTACTAGGGGCTCCTGGCCTTACTACTAGGAGCAAAGACGCTAACTAGGGGCTCCTGGCCTTACTACTAGGAGCAAGGACGCTACTAGGGGCTGCTGGCCTTGCTACTAGGAGCAAGGACGCTACTACGGGCTCCTGGCCTTGCTACTACGAGCAAGGACGCTACTAGGGGCTCCTGGCCTTACTACTAGGAGCAAGGACGCTACTAGCGTTTCGTGGCCTTACTACTAGGAGCAAGGACGCTACTAGGGGCTCCTGGCCTTACTACTAGGAGCAAGGACGCTACTAGGGGCTCCTGGCATTACTACTAGGAGCAAGGACGCTACTAGGGGCTCCTGGCATTACTACTAGGAGCATTCTTACTACTATATAGTAGAATTCCATCTTGCAAGGATGTGCGTAACTCGCCCTCGCGACGAAATCGAGAGTCATTCTTCGATCGAGGCCGTGACACTGGGAGATGAGGTGCAATCCCGGTTAAAATCACCGTCCTCGCCACCAGTCCAAGACTCTAAGACGCCAGGCCACGGCCAAGGGAGTCGCTGGATTTGGTTGTGAACTTCCAGAACGAGAGAGGCACTATGCTTGACTGGAATGACCAGCATTCAATGAGACTTCAACTCCTCCTTCCTCATCAAAATGATGTTTCATTGGTCAACTCGACTAGTTCTTGTTCTTGACAATGTGGGTTTCACTAGTTCAGCTATCTTCTCTCATTGCAGCCACGAACAAGCATCCATGACTCCATGACCCCATGTGCGTAAGCAGTTGAGACCTAGTTCAAGAAATTCTGAAGTGGGATCATCTTTTTGGAGCTTAGAAAACAAGTTCTGACAAACTACCACAACTTCTTGGGTCAAACCTTCAAGTTATTAGCTGCACTTCACCGTCTCCTGTTTTGCGGGGGATGAACTCCACGTCCACTCTGTACGACTTCAGGCTTCCTGGGAAGCAGCACATCAGAGCATGCAGTACAAGATGGTAAAAAAGATCCAGCTATTGAGGAGAGCCAATGTGATTCTGAATGTGTGATCAAAGCCTACTTCACAGACTCCCACTGGTTTCAAGAAAAAACAAACCATACCAAACCTTCCCCTGCAGTATCCTTGCCGCAATGGCATGGCTGCAGGAGCGCTTCGTGCCAACCTGCTGGATACGACTCGACGACCAATGAATTCGTTTGGCCTGCTCCCGGAAGGTGTGAATTACCAAGAATTTCCAAAGTCCATGCTTGCCAGGACCAGTCTCTACCTTCAGCTCAAGTCTAAGCTATCCAGGCTCCAGGCGGTATCATAGGAGAGTTGTGATGAAGCATCAGTGTCAGCCTAGCTGTGTGCAGTCTGATATGGACTCACCAACCAATCCATCAAGGATGTGATGAAATGGATCGATTTTCTTCAATTTCGCAAATGATCAGCTGCTTCGGTGATTCTCAAGGTGTAAAAAAGGCACGCGCCTTGTACCGGAGTCTGCGCCAGTCAACAGGCGGCGGTAGAGGCGTCCATTCCTTGGCGTTTCTTTAACAAAAGAATCCTGAGAGCCTTATGGACTTAGCCGGCGGACTCTAGCAGGCACTCTCTGAGAAATTGCTTTGAATTCTTAGAACTTCATTCCCCTCTCTCTCTCTCTCTCATTCTCTCTCACTCGCCGCACAACATTCTCAGCTCTGCACAGCATGAAGTACCCTGCCGCGAATGGACATTGTTTCAGCCTGTGCTCCAGGGTGAGAATTATATACGTTGAATATATTTAACTAGAGAGCCAAGCGAACACACAAGCAGAACCTACGTGCTACTTGTTTCATCGAATCGCTACAGCTAATCAGTGACACTTCGTCTCCAAGCTGAGAATCACACACGGGCCCAGTTTGCTGGCTGTCGTTGGTCAACCAACCAGTGTGCATCCTGCCCCGCTGGATTTTTCCGGGTACAGGAGGCACTGTCACAGGGATTGCAGACACATGGTGGTCGAACAAGGAAAATGTCTTCGCAAGACCATGAAACCTTTCATGTTCCTTTTCACTGCATCTGCATCCCGCAAGTCGGTCCGCCGCACGAAGGAACTGAATGGTGGCCTCGGCAAAGTCCAAGTCAAACGGCTTCCAAAAAGACCATGCGAAAAAAGCACATGCGCAGCTCAAACCGCTGCGTTCGCTGGGTCAAAAGGCACGGAGCGGTCTCCCCGCCTCGGTCCCTGCCGCACGAGCTGCGGAATTGGCCACCTGGTCACCGCGCCACGGCGCGTTCGTCCCGTTCGTCCCGTTGAAAAGGTGAATCCGCAAGTCCCAAAGCTCCTATGCATCTGTTATACATCAGGTGTTAACACACCTACAGTATTAAGTGTTTTGGAAAGGGGCTCGACTCTTGGTCCCAAAATAGAGGTGCTCTGAGGTCCAGCTGACTCATCCTGATGGTCGGCTATGGACAGCGACTCCACCACTGGCGGAGTTCCTGGCGTGACTAAGACAGTCTTACCAGTTTCAAGAGGCCCCATCAAGAGTCTCCCATAGTCTGCCCAATCCAAACTGTCAAACAAAGCCGGTGACTAGTTCTTGGTCACCCTGCTGTTGAGCACCACTCGCCAAAGTCGGCCCAATTCTTCTCTTATTGCATCCTGCACTCTCAGGATGACGAAGCAGGGACCGACCTGTTGGAAACGAAGCTGTAGGATCTCACCAAACAGCAGTACGAAGTGATCACAGTTCAGGGTATTTTACCAAATACAGGTCTTTTCCGAGCTTTCAGTGTCCTTCAACTCCTCCGCCGGTCTCAGCGGGAGATTCCTGTGATGCCGGCAAATTGCATGATCCCATCGAGATCTCTCCCACCAAGTCCCACAATGGAGTTCGTGCTGATCTGGAGACCTCTTCAAAAGTTCGATTGTGGAGTGGACCTGCTAGGCTAGTTACGTTTGGTTTATTATTGGTTTTTTACAGGGGGGCGGGTAGGCCGCTAGTAGGGAGAGGTAGCTAGTAGTTAAAATAGCTACTACTGACAGGACGCAGGAGAGCTCGCGCTAATGATTTGGTTCCTAGATTTTTAGGGAAACTTAAGGTAGTAGCTTCACAGTTCGCAGTTGTTTTGCTCAACTTGACCCTCGCACCTGATCCTCACCTCGCGTCGACCTACGCAAAGCAAGTCGACCGCTCCAGTTCTAGTTGATTTGCGCTTCGGAACTGTGAAAGAATAGAACACAACCAAGATCCCTTTCAAGTCTTCATGTCCATGATCCAACACCTCGGCGCTGGACTCTTTAACATCAATTCAGATCATGTGTCAATCTCACATGAGAAATCTGCCTGAAGGAGAGGAGGGTGCAGACCAGGGCTCAACATCTCCTGGCTCCAAGTTCTCACCTCACAGTCTCACTGTGGACCAGTCACGCCAAGCGGCCAAGCAGATCTGAAGATCGCATGTGCAATATGACCAAGCTAGGATTTGGGAGAGGAAAACCAACTGATGGTAAAGATTGGGAGAATCGTCACGATTTTTGTTGGCCACCCGGTAACAAACCTACCTCCAGTGGAAAGGTGACCATTTCAGCGGCTAGATCGAACATTAACATGAAGAACATTAACATCGATACCTCAAAGAGGTGAGAGAGGCGGAGAGATAGCGGAAGATCAAAGAGCTGAGAGCGCGGAAGAACTTAGTTTGAACAATCATGGTGCCCACTTCATCCATAGATTCCCAGGAGTTTTTCAGTCTTGTTTCAATGGAGTATCCCGAAGTCCTTTGGACCTGTGTATCATATCTCAAGGTATGAATTCATCTGAAATGCATCTGAATGCATAGAGAGAGGGTTCGTTCATGTGTCCCTTGGCACCCAGCTCTCATCGGCCCAACTAGTGATGTGGTCTGCAGGGATGGACAAGTCGCCTGCGGATAGATCCATGCGATGAATGTGGCCTATGAGGGACAGCAAAGCGAAGTAGATGTGCTGAACTTATTGAATCTTCTTGAAAAATCAAGCAGAAGAAGAAGAAGAAGAAACTGGACTTTATCAACTGAACATATGGTCAAGGCCATCCTGCCGGTAGATAAACTTGCGTAACTTTTGGAGACATCACCAAATCCAACGCCTTGGCAGAGTCCTCAAAAGCAGAATATGTTTCTGGTCGGTTCGAGCGGTGAAGTGGACAACAACGCTCCTTCTGATTTAAGCTGCAAGTCTGATTTAGGCTGTGTGCACTGTGTGCACTCGAAAAACAGTTCACTTTGAAGTATTGAGGTCGCTCCCAAGTCTCTGAAGTCTCTCAAGTTGTCCACTTTTGCTGAAAAGCCTTCGCGCGTTCTAGAGGTTTCACTCCTTGATTGGCAACGAGATCCTTGTCTTTCAAGTCCACACGAGTCTCTGGTGCCTGGACACCAAACAGACCAAACCCAATCAATGTCATTGTCCAAAGGTTTATTTTAGCCCGCTCCTACTTAATTCAGTAGGTGCCTACTTAATCAAGTAAGGAGGTAAGCTACTAGCAATAGGAAGCGGATAAATCACGCTAATGATTTACAGTAGTTCCTAAATTTTGAGGAAAACTCATCCTGCCATGTCCTGCCTTGGCCTGGGCCTCTAAGCTGTGCCCCTTGACTTCTGATGACAACTTTGCCTGAGCGACAAGCTGAGGCCAAAACAATCGTGTGCAAATAGAGCCCTTCGATTGATTGCTTTGTTGTCTGTGAAGTTTTCTTCCCACATGCGCTCAGCAAGGCAAGCGATAAATTTGTCCCACTGATGTGTATGATGAGCAAACATAAGTATATACTACAGCAAGTTAATGATTCATGATTAGTGATATTGCATACATCAAAGACTGAAGCATCAAAATTCATATTGTATATATTGTGGTGCATGAGTGTATGACTCGCTAACAATGCTGCTGTATAAAATCCAACACATTTGCACGAGAAGAGGCCACCTTGGCTTGTCGAGATGAACTGCGGCCTGCTTGCAAGCGATGCTGCTGCACGTAAGGTGTAGCAAATCTTCATGCTATCATGCTCTGTCAGGATGGCTAAACAAGCATGGCAAAATGTACACAAATAACAGCTGCCCAAACACCTACAATTACAGTACATGTTCATTCATAGCCAGCATGAGTCCTCCAATGAGTCCTCCAATAAGTCCTCCTTCATAGTGCAGAGAAGGCATGAAAAGGGCACCCGCACCTCTGGCTTCAGAGGCATCTTTCTCCGTTTCGGCTTCCATCCTTAGAGGCTTCCAAAACAGACTTCTTACTGTACTATGTTTTTAGCCCGCTCCACCCCCTACTTAACTAAGTAGGCGCCTACTTAATTAAGGGAGAGGTAGCTAGTAGCTTAAGTAGCTACTACCTAGGACGCAGGATAGCTCACGCTCGCACTATTCATTTGGTTCCTAGATTCTTAGGGAAACTTATTTAAGTAAATCCATTGCATGATACTGAAAGCTGCACACTTCACATTCAATGCTGATCTGGATTACGAGTGGATGTGTGTGTGTGTGTGTCCTCTTTGATTGCGTCTACTCTTCTCTAAGAAGCAACGAGGAGCCGCTGTATCCGGCCTCTAAAGTTTCATATCATATCCCAAAAAGAATTTGGGGACAGCGGTGGCATTTCAAGTAGGAAAAAGGCGCTGTCCCAGTGTCCCAACAGCAAGGCTCAATCCCTGTGCCACTGCCAAAGGCCGATCTAAGCACTGGGCTTGTCTTCCAAGATGGATCGAAGGATGTGTGACCTGAAGGATGTGTGACTCATGGACTCAGAAAGAAGTCCTGGGATCGTATCACATCCGCCATGCCTTATGGATGTTCATGGAATTTTCTCAGCTAAGCAGGATCAAAAGAACGGGAAACACCATGAGTTCCTTTCCGTTTCTAGTCAAATGCATGAGATAGAATCGAGACTTTACCGCCTGTCATATTCCACATCTCACGGGCCATGTAACATCTCCTTTTTTCTACGAGGTTGGAGGCCATTGCTACTAGGTTGGAGGCCATCGCTATTAGGTTCCTTTTGCCATTAGGTTGGAGGCCATTGCTATTATAGACTTTTGCTATTAGGTTTCGTCTCCTGTTCGTCTCCTTTTTCGGTTGTTTTGGTCTCCCGGCGTGTCACGCTTCACGGCCCACGGTGCCGGAGGGGACGGCGCTGGCATGAGCGTCAGCAGCGGAGACGCCCTGAGAGATGTCCGGACATGGTCTCTCGATGCCAAACGGAGGGATAGCTCAAAGCACGAAATGTGAAAGCTGTAGACTCCCTGGAACTAACGAAGTGGATGGCATGGTCCCTTGGAAGACCCTTTTCCTCTATATATAACTAGTGGATTTTCCACCTCCATGTTACAATGTTAATTCCAGGAAGGGTAATTTATTATTCTTGGAAAGGAGACACTAGACTACAGCACCAACCGATTCGCCACTCACAATCTCATCACTGGGCCCACTAGGGGAAAATTGAGTCATTTTAAGAATTGGTCAGGGGAGGTACACAATAGACTTTGAGTCCCCTCTTCTCATTCCTCATCTGAAAGATACGACATCTGAGACCCACGGGCTTAGTGGATGAAGATGCTGCGCTGGATGCCTGCCAACAGCAAAAACAAACGATAATGGTGAGGTCTCAACGTGAGTCGGAGACCTCTTGCTTGCCGGCATCTGTCGGAGACTGCGCATCAGCATACCCACCTTAAATCTTGCAGCCATCCAAAAAGCAACTTTAAAGTGGTCTCACCGAGAACAAACAAATGCTGCAAAAACCATGTTGCAAATCAGCCATAGCAGAAAGATACGTAAATGTTGAAACAAACACTGAATTGCCCATGTTTGAATGAAACATCAATTGCTGTTAGCGGCACTTAGAAGACCGTCGTCAACAAGCTGAAGGAACTCTCTCACCACAAAGGCTCCGAACCCATCTTGTTGACAGCGCTGGGTGCTGTTTTGGTTCGAACCTCAGAGCATTGGAAGTTTAGGAAGCTCGTGCTAACGACTGGGTGGTTTGCACATGTTTGCACCATCCTGACATGTTATTGACAGTTCTTGACAATCAATGTTTATCAAGCCGGCGAGCCACATTTGTCACATGCGCATTGGCGCTAAGAAATGTGTACGGTGTTTAACCTGAGTTGATGGTGCTAACTCCATGATGTCTGAAATATGGTCCAGCAAGACACCTACTCTGAAACCCCGATAGTCACTATAGATGCTTATCTCTACTCCAAATGATCCAACAAAATGCGCTCCATTGCGGCCAAGGGGGCTAGTGGCTCAACATCCTTGGGAATGCAGAACTCGTAGAAGGTGTTTTTGATCCGAAGCTCAGGGCCTGCTCTGTTGACATGAAAGTCTCATAAGGATCATCTATGATCATCTACAGAGCACCAGTCCATTGTTTCCTGATGAACGGCGTCAGCCACATTGAACAGGAGCTCCAGTAACTTGGCTAGCTAGATCACAATAGTACCCAATAAAATGTGGTTCGTTTGTCGAGCCAGCAAAAACGAATACTGTAGCCCGTCTCATTCGTGCGTGTGTGTGTGTGTGTGTGTCCAACCCTGGACAAAGGGTCTTCCAACACTTTTCCTCATAGGCAGGGGGCAGCAGGGAGTCCACAGTTCTGCTGCCAACGAAGACAGCTGTGGATACTCCGTGAAGCAGATTGGGACGCCAATCTGTGTACCTGCGCCAGTTTTCAACTTTTGACCAAGCCGTTCCAATCTCTCTCTTTTGTTTTCATGGTCCTTGCATGATACCTCCCCCCAAACCCTTTCTCGCAGCCGCGTCGTCTTGCAGCTCAGCCGAGTCGTCTCGCAGCCGCGCCTTTCTGCAGACTGATCAACAATTTGTTAAAACACCTACAAGTCTTTCAGACTCTCCACCATGCAGTTCCATCACCTTCTTTCCCATCGGAGCAACTGCGTTTAACTGAAAACCAGTGTCAGAGTGTGTCCCGCTCAGCCGTCCCACTCGGGTGCTGAGTGTGATCCCCGTCACAGGGGCGCCGTTTTGCGTGGGAAAGCAACCACCACAACGCACCACCACTCACCGGACTCTCCCAGGAAGTCACCGACACCCTCACCGAATCAACTGACATACTGGCCGCCGGGCCAAAAAACGGTTCTTGAAGAATACATCGGATATCAGCTTTCAGATTTCAGTTTTTCAGATTTCGGATTCGTCATGTTCACTTTTCCAAGTCATGTTTGTTTTTCCACATTTTGCCATATCAATGCCGTGACTTTTTCCTCAGCAGAACTCAAGTTTGGGCATTGGAGCTCTTCCATCTAATTCGAGATGCATGAACACACACCTGCCAACAAGCTCACCTCTAGCACCACCTTACAACATACTCTCCATCAACACCAGAGATGAGACTTTCAACAACATCATGACAATACAACTCGGCACTTTTCCGCTGCAATTTTGCTGCTGCGCCGCGCCGTGCCATAGCTACGACTACGACATGCATTTTCCGTGGCCATACGCTCACGCCACGCCACCACCACTACCTACCACACAACCTCAACCCACATGGCCGCTGCCACAGCCGTCAACTGCACCCACCTTTCCCTCGCCACAACCATCGGCATACCCTCACCCACAACCACAACCATTTCAACCACCACCTTTTTTGTCCAGTCCGACCGCCACTGCACTGACCTACGGCACACCGTCCACTTGGACGTTTGTGCAACCATCTCACCTGCCACCGCAGCCCACACATCCAACTCCAGTATATCCGTCAGCAGCACCTCCCCCTTCATACCTGTTGCCACCACTACATCCCACACCACCGGCTGAACTTCTTCCCCCCACTACACTGACACAACCCCTTCCAACACAGCAACAGACCGCGGTTGCCAATCACCCATCCACAGACCCACAATGCGCCATCCCCCAGGGAGTTTGGCAACCCTACTCAGCCTTTCCCCCAGTCACACAACCTCCACCCCAACCATTGCCCCCGCCCCCCCTCCACAAACCATCAGCGCTTCACCACCAGTCCAGCCTCCACTCCCACAACAGACGCCATCAGACCCAACACCACCAATCCAACACATCCCCACAACCGCCACGGACCCTCCATTGCCGGTCCAAAACACGACCCCTCCAGCTACCGCATCCCAACCTTCCGTATCACCATCCCTTACATCAGCCACACCAGCTCCTGGACCTTCACTACCTGCAACGGACAAACTTGACACCACAGCCTCACCAGCACCACAACCACCTTCCCCACAGCCACCACACAGCAGTCGCCGCCACCACCACAAGAGCCGACGCAAGTCCGACCGTCACCGCCGAGGACGCCACCACCACCGCCGCCGACATCGACATCACCACCACTCCAAGCACCACAGCGCAACCCGGCGACGCCGTTCACCCTCGACATCCACTTACACATCCAGCCTTACACCATCCCGCAGTCGCTCACCACCACAACCCATCGATTTACGCCCCAACACTGAACACACCAACCCAGACCCCTCTCAATTTCCCACCACAGCCGTCCTTCGTCGCCCAATCAACCGTTGGCGACCTCCACCCAACTTTCACACCTTTTCACCTGCAGACCAACTCCTGGAATGGCTTGAATTCCACGCCACCCAACTCGACAACCCCAACCGACCACAGCACCAGTACATTGCCAATCTCCTCACAGACTGCAACATCACTTACAAGGAGATCACCGATTTCCGGCAATATACTCATGCCAGGTGGAACGACACAACTCACCAATACGACCAATTCCAATACTACGCCATTTCACTTCCTTTCCTCAACACAAAAGCCACCACACCAGAACCGCCCGCGGTTTCCCGAGCCACATCAACCCACCGGGAAGTCGCCCACATCAACGCAGGCCATACAGGCCCCGTCGGCAACATTGCCAACATTCTACGCCAAGGTCGATTTTTACCCAGCACACTTCACTTTGCCAACTACCCTGGATTTTTTGCCCAGGGTGTCCGCATCACCCACAATCAACCCCATGATCACAACGAATTTGCCCGCATCATCCACAACACCTGGCAACTCCACAAGAACTCCCATTCCCTTATCATCACACTCCTTGCTTGGGGCGCCGCCACAAAGTATACCTCCGGAGGTGAAGAACATGCCATGAACCTCCTCAACGATTACCACGGCGCAGTCTTCCATCAGAAGGGCCGCTGCTGGGTGATCCACCCGGACCATGCCATTGTCAAAGGACTGGCCTGGTCCACAAACTCCACTCCACCAGACACCTAACACCACTGTCCAACACCTCCACACCACTACCACCTCTACCTCCACCTTTTGTCTCACACCACCACATAACCTTTGCTTATAGCAGCCAAAAAGAGCCTCCTGCAGCGGCCACGCGAATTCTGAATCCTCAATTTTTCAAGCTTTGCAGGTTTTGCTTTAAACATCTTTTTCCGAATCGTACCAGCTGTTTTGATGGAGTATTTCACTTGTCAGAGTTTCACGCACTTGATTGTTCAATCGGACTTGCATTTTCGCACCATGCCCGTGGGAATTTGATGCTCGTTTAATTCATACGCACGGCCACGTGATGACGCGCTCCCGCAGATCAGCTGCTGTCCTGCTGCTTTGGCGCGCTGCCGCAGCAACCTGTGACGACTTTGTGCTACCGTACATCCCTATATCTCCAAGTCATGAGCAGCACACTGACACCTCCACACAATGACACCTCAACTCTCCTACACAGCACCGCAGTGGTACTTTCGCAGGTGCAAAACCTGCTCAGACAAGCAACAGATATTGTCGCACACCTTCACACTCACTTCCTCCACCACATCCACCAAGCGGATCCCACTTTCCGCCAACACTTCCAGCCACTCCGAACTCCGCCTATCCACCCTATACGTTTACCATCCACCACCTCCTCCTGTGACTCAGCACCATCCCGACCACCCACCCGTTTACCAGCACCACTCTCCAAAGACTCCGACGACACACCAACAACACCCCCAGCTCCACAACCTACTACAACACGCAAGCGGAAGCAACCACTCCCACCACCACTGAACCAACAAGCGGACTGGGACGCCTGGGACGGCGACGCCGATTGCAAAGAAAACCCCCGGCTTCGTCCCAACTGGGTCACTGTGGCTCGCCGAGTGGGCTTCTCAGTCGAGCAATGTCAAGCCCGATGGCAAGAACTCAAAGACATGCAACGTCAGCAAGACCAGCAACTTTCCTCCACGCCACTACCAACAGAACCACCACGACAAGCACCTTCCCTCTCACCAACACCCACCTCACCAGCAGTTTCCCCAGCACCACATTCACAACCGGATTTTTCCCCTTCCCCCAAAACAACGCCACCGACTTCACCGCATCGATCACCTCCTGCTGCTGTGCTGCTGCCGCCAGCTGCTGAGCGAGAGCCTAGTGAGAACAGTCATCCGGAGAAATCTCCACTTACGCCCGTCGGCAGTTATTTCATATGATCCGTTTCACCCAGCTTCCTCTACGGCGTGCCGCAGGACAAATCCACTAGCATGCACTGACAAGTTGTTTTTCACGCCCGGTCTACTTGCACCAATTTTGGACACCTTCGATCTTTCATTTTTCAGGCTCACTCTAGCTCCGCAGCTTTTTGTGCGCCACTTTGTCCTGTTTTCTTGTACCAATCGTTATGGCCAATCCTCGCGCTCGCCCCCATGGCAACACCGCCAACACAGAACACTACCTGCCACAGCGCCCCCCGAGCTGGCTCCAACCTTCGATTTGCACTCAGCCTGACTTTCAATCCCTCAACAGCTCCTTGGACCTTCTCTTTATGGTCAACCAACACCTCCGCCACCACCCATTTCACACTGAACCTATGCCAAGCCAGACATATTTTCAGGACCAGAGAGCATACAACCTCCTCTACCGAATATCCTCTGACCCACCCACTACACACCACAGTTACTCCTTACCGAACAATCCCATGCCATACTTGGCTCCATCCGTGACACACCAGCCCGAATTACTCTTGCTCCACTGGATGGTTAGCACTATCGCCTCACTCGTTGAGGATCTCCAACATCACCCCATTGCGCAAGATCCCATCCCTCCAATGTCTACATTCACCAACACACCAGCTTACAGACTTTTTCTGCAGCTGCGCAACACCCTCCGACACTTGATCAACACCGCCCACGACGCCCGACGTGGACTCAACAAGCTGCAATTCATTCCTGGCTCACCAGGTTCCCCTGGCCACTACCGCATCGACCCCACACTCGACATCCCACCACAGCAACCCAATCTCCTCTCCGCAGCCACCTTCCAACGTGACCCAGCCATACCATCACCCATCGACACACC